TATCATTTTGAACATCTCTACTTACTAGGAACTTCAAAATAGAAATAAAAATTATAAAAAATAAAATGTGGAACATATGCATCAATATTTTTTAAAAATCTTTTTTTGTGTAGTATTTTAGATATTCCCTGTTTTTCAGTGAAGTTTAATTCTCATGATATATTCTATAGTATGCAGGGATTGTTAAATCTAACCAGTGTTTTCTTTGGTAGCTATTAGTTGCAGGATTCTATACTGGGTTCTATGGATAAATAAATAAGAGACAGTGATCCTTATTCTCAGAAAATTTAATTTTTAAAGAGAAACTTTCTTATGACTTCTTTGTCCTAAGTTTTTTTTGTTTCTGACAAAGTGTTTTGTTTTGTTTTTCCTGGTTTTAATTGTATATAAATGAGTAAATTAGGACATAGTTGTTTTTATTGCAAGGACTAGAAGTACAAAAATCATTTGACTGCAGGAGATAATTTACTTAAGTTGGTTTAGGAAGGGAGGTTTTGTTCACTATATGAAAATGAATTACTTTCATTGAACCCAAGAGCCACAAATACAACTGGGATTCACGAGGAGGTAGAAATGGGAACTAAAAATCATCGGGAACCTTGATAGCTAACATCTTTCACATTTCTCTCTCTCTCTCTATCTCTGGATCCCCCTGGACGCCCCCTGTTGTAATTCTCCCTCATTTTCCAGCTTCTCACCAGCCTGCTCCCTCATTGTTGATTATTCCAAAATGGCCACTCTAAATTGCATCTCGGCCCTAAGTCTGTGTCACTTACCTGGACTGCTACCTACTGCTGACCGAAACAGTCTTTCTGTGTACCAGTTGTAGGTTTCCCGGGGAGACTTAGGGTCAGATGGCCATCCTTTGTCTAATCAGTTATTACTAAGAGGTTGGGTCATATGTTGTCTTCTGCACTTAGCAGGGCCTGTACCAATAAGCGCTGTGAGACAGGACAGGCGCTTTAGGGAGACTGGCACCTGAGATTGGAGGTGGACCTGATTGGCATCCCTAGTAAAACAGAGTATTACTAGTAACTACTACTATTAGTAGTCCTACTACTACTATTTATCCAGTGTAAAATAGTAATACTGTTTAATTCAGTTTGTAGAGGAAAGACCTCTGTAGTCATAATTATTCTTTGTGTGCATTATATTAAAGAACTATCAATTCGTAGTTTGATAAAACAATATAATAATACCATTAGAGGAAAATTTAAACAACAAAAATTCATTATGGTTCTATCACTATAATCCAAGTCATTGAATTTTTCCATTTCTATACTTTTTTTATAAGCATATGAAATTTTTATAGTCATAATCATAGAATTTTGTGTTCTACTTCTTTCGTATATTACTATATCATTCTGTTTTTGTGTGTGTCCCATCAAGTAGTTAATTATAATTATAATGGTTACAGTTCACGATTATAAATAGCACTCTCATAAACTTCTTTGGGCATAGGGCTTTTTGCTTCTTTTGAATTATTACCTCAGGAGTAAATTTCTAGGATAATTAGTGGGTCCAAAATTATGTTTGTTTTTGAAGTTCTTGATGCATAAAATTAATTCTGTCAGCAAGTAAAAAACAATAACAATTGTTAGATCTTTGTAATGGATGGATGTTTTGATGTTTGCTGTATTCGTTTTCTGGCTAGATGACAATGAGGGGAGCAGCAGTGATACTGCCCCTCTGTTCCAGATGGCAGGTGATGGGAAGGAAACAGATGACATCAAGATCCCCATGCTGTTCTTATTCAGCAAAGAAGGAAGCATCATACTGGATGCCATCCGGGAATATGAGGAAGTAGAAGTGCTCCTTTCTGATAAAGCAAAAGATCGAGGTAAGGGTACAGAACCATTTGTTTTTATACAGCTTAGCATTCATTTTGCTAGTTTGATAACAAAAATGAGTCACAAAAAACCCTGTTTTTGGTTCACTAATAAAACAAGTAAAATTTTTAAAAGATGAGTTCATTCTAATTCTGGGAAAAAGAAAATGATTTCAAAATATATTTTTATTTTTGGAAATAAG